TCCACTCGGCGGGGTCGCAGCTAAATGGAAGGCACCGAGATGTACCCCTTTTTCGCGCAATGGTCAAATCAAGGTTTTGAAACGCGAGCTGTACCCATCTCACAATAAATAAATAAATAAAACGGACACCTCTACTAGGAGATGGGTAAAAAGGAACAGGTCCCCGCCCTGCGGTCTTTGTGCAGGGTTCTTTGTGGGTATGGTCGGCGACTAGCCGGGGTCGTCCTCCCGATGGGGGACTAGCACTAGCCGTCTTCCACATGGTCCCTCGGGTCCCTGCTGCTCCTAATCTCGTCGTACATCCTCCTGCTGATCTCAGCAACATCCTGCTCCCTCCCTCGTCTCGCCCTGCGCGTCTGCTCCGCCTCCCCGTCGTCTGCCCTGCGTCGTCTGGTGACGGGTCCTCCGTAGTCGGTCGAGGTCGCCGCCCTCCTCGTGCCTCTTCCCAACGTTTCCTCGGCGGCCGATGCCGTCTGCTCCGACTCCGCCGTCCCCGGGTCTGCCCTGCCCTCGTCTGCGCTAGCTTCTGTTTCGTCATCACTGATGTCCGTCCTCTTCTTTCTCCTCTTCTTGTATGCTTTGCACATCGCGTCGATTCCTTTTCGCGTGAGCACCAGCCTGAAGCCCGCCCAGCAGCTGAACCGCTCCCTAAGTCGAAGGAGCATCATCAGTCTCACCCACTTCGCTCGCTGCCCACCGTCTCCGCTCCCTCCCGCTTGAGCCGCCGTCGTGGCCCTCGTTCGTCCCACTGGCTGCTGGCCTGTCTGCACGTTACCTCCGTTATCCCTCCTCCTCCGCGACTCCCTCAAGGCCGGCCGAGCCTCCTTCCACCCAGTGAAGAGCTTCCTCAGCCACTCGATGTGTTCCTCTCTCTTCATTATGCGCGCCGTAGCCTCATCATTGAGCTGGATCCACCTCTGCACCGCTCCCGTCGCCGCCTCGGCCACGACTTGCAAGTTCCTCGTGACCCCGGCGCCAAGGTCCCTCCGGCTCTTCTCCGAGAGATCATCTACCAGCGCCGGCAACACCCCCCCGACGGCTGGGGCTAGTGCATCGTACCCGTCCTCATCCAGCACCCTATAGCGTGAGCCCTTCAGCGCAGCGACATGCGCTTTCCTCAGCGTCTTCAGCGTATCCTTGGAGTCGGGTGCCGCCTGGGCTACTTTGCTGATCGCCGTCCCCGTCTGCGCTCGCGCTACTCTGAGGAACCATCTGGCCTGCTCCCTATTCCCCAGGCAGGCGCCGCTAAGCAAGTGCGCCATCGTCGCTCTAGGCGGGTTCTCATCTTCCTCGGTCCATTGCTGCGCGGCTTTCCGCGCGACTGGACACAGCGGGTCTCGCTTTAGTGCCGCCCTCCTCGTCGCGTCCCTCGCGGCCTTACAGACGAGGCAGCCCCTGAGTTCGCTCCTCGTGGCGGCGCCCGGGGTCTCTTTCCCCGCCTCTCCCCGCATGATCCTCTCGTGGTGCGCTCCGTGTGGCACCCCCGCCTGCTGCCGCACCCGCGCTCCCATCTCACAGTAGAGGTGTCCCTATTTATTTACGACTGGTGTCACGAGCCAGAATGCAGAAAACGCCGCAGCGCAGGCGCTGGCGGTGGCCCGCCATCAACGTTCCAAGCATTTCGTAACAGCAGTCAGCAGACGCGAGTCGAAAATTGGGTCGTCGACCGTATAACAAGCGATGATGTACAGATGTACTGGTCACTGCTGCGCAGAGGTGAGATGGCGCGCGCCGCTGAGCGCAGCGAGGAGAGCTTACTCCGCTGCACCACTCACGGGCCACGGCGCGCGGGCCGCTGTTGTAGCTTGCGAACGATAGTAGTACACCGTGTCTCGACGCTTTTGGCAGCGCAGCGGCGACGCCGCGACGCCTTGCATTCACACGGCCTGGCGGCTAGCTCTTCACCGTGCGCTCTCGCTCGAACGCGGCCGGCTTGGGCACCTTGAGCGAGAAGTCGAGGGTGGCGTACCCGTTCGTGAGCGCGCCCTGCGAGATGATGTCGACGTGCGGCGAGAAGAAGTCCGGCATCGTGGCCGAAGTGATGCCGCCGCTCGCCTCGATGGTCACGTGAGGCCACTCCTCCTTGAGCCGGCCCGCGACCTCCTTGAGCGCGGCGGGCGTGTAGTTGTCGAGCATCAGCACGTCGGCGCCGGCGCCGGCCGCCTAGCCTCGGCTGGTCTCGGGTCAGCTCGGGCAGTCTCATCCGGAGGACTTCGGCGACAACTTCGGGTCTTCTCGGCTCGTCTCGGCCCCCCTCTCTCGGCTCCTCTCCGCCTCGCGAGCGTCCGCCTCGGAAGTGCACTCGACCTCTATCTTGGTCGAGAAGCCGGCGACCGAACGCGCCTGAGTCGGATGCGTGAGCCATCCTCCGGGGTGTCACGATTGCATCGCCCGCCGAGCAACGGAGCACGCCTTTGCGACGGAGCTCGCTATCGACCCGCTCGACCAGATGTGGTTGTCCTTGAGCATGACCATGTGGGAGAGGTCCATCCGGTGCGTATCGGCGCCGCCGACGAGCAAGCCGTACTTCTCGACCAGCCCGAAGCCTGCTCACAGACTTGCTCGTCGGTCTACGCAGCTCTTCTTCGTGGCCGCCCCTCGGCTGCTCTGGAGGCCGGGAGTCGTCTTGCGGGTGCCGGCAACGCGCCCCTGCCACCCGTGCTGCCGTGCGAGCTCCATCGCCGTGTGCGCCGCCGTCGCAACCTAGAGGGTACGGCCAAAGCTCAGGGAAGGGTCAGCGTCTCAGCCGCACGCCCCGCCGTCGCCACCCCGGAGCAGCGCGACAGGATGTTGAGCGCCGTCCTCTCAGCGACGAGGAGCGCGCGAGTCGGGCCCTCGACCCGCGCGACCGGCGCCTGCGCGAAGGTTTCCGAGACGGTTCGGGGACGGTTCGGGGACGGTTCGGAGAAGGTCGGTACCCGCGCGACGGGAGCCTTGGCGGCCGCCTCATCTGCGGTGATGAAGTGGCCCTCCGGGACGAGCCAGGTCGCGGTGCAGCCCGCCTCTCGGAAGACTTGGTCTGCAAAGGGCACGCCGGCCAGCACGCCCGCCGCCTGTGTGCGCACAGATGGGCATGAGCGCGGCGAGAAAGGCCGCGGGGCGTGGAGCTCCGAGTCAACAGCAGGGAGGCTGATGCGCTCGTGAATACTCTAGGCACGCTCCTTCCCGAGGAGCATCGCGTGGTGCGGCTCGTCGCCGACCACAAAGCCTCCGACATCCCACTTTGGGATGTCCTGCGCGAACCATCGTCCGACCTCCTCCTTCCAGTGCGGCGGGAGCAGCGACGCCAGAGCGGGCGGTGGGACCGGGTCGCCAGATTGGTCGGTGAGAGGCATGGTACGCGGCGCTGCCGGCTCGCACCGCGAGGTCTCGGAGCACAGGGGAGCGGAGAGAGCCAATGATGGTTGCTCGAGAGAGGGGTACCCTGGGTGGGCGGGTTAGTCAGCCTGCCCAAAATACCCCGGTATTTTGCCGATTTGGCTGATTTGGGGCCCAAACCAGCCTCAGTCAGACTCGGCTCAGTCCTCAGAGCTCAGTGCTCAGAGCCCGGGCGGGAAATTGATTGATGATTTCCACGGAGTTTCCCCAGGAAACTAGAGGGTGCTCTAGGGAAACTAGCAGGAAACACGGTAAGGAAACCAGGTAGGGTGCGAGAGGAAACCCTTGGACAGGCCAAGCAAGCTAGAGAACACAACCCCCTCTCCCTCTCTCTCTCTCTCTTCTCCCAGACCCAGTACAAAGCTCGCTTCCGAGCTCTCACGCCGCGCGTAGGGCCCTTAGGGGCCTAGAGAACACAACCCGTCTCCCTCTTCTCCTAAGCTCAGTGCGTACGTACACAACGATCTATCTACATCAACTTGGCGAGCTGTGATGGCCGCGCGTTGCCCTTCGTCGGTGGCGGCTTCCTCCAACCTCTGCGCCGCGCTCGGCGAACCTCGACAGCGCGCCTTCGGTGGCATGCTGCTCTTTGCGACAGAAGCCTGGAGAGCAGCTCCTCTACTGCTCACACGCTCTGCACAGTTGGCACAGCCTACTATGCGGCTGCCACAGCTGTGACAGCGATGGGCTCGCCCTCACTGGCCCTCAGTCACTTGTGCTGCGGCTTATGTGAGCGACACTGCTCGACGACTGCCGGCACACTGTGAGACCATGGGTGTGAGGTAAAACCACGCTACCAGCGCTTGGTCACATCAGCCCCGAGGTCAGATCCTTCTCCTCTGTTGATGGTAACACTTGTCTACTCGCTGGAGCCGAGCAGGAGGGCCTGGCGCCCAACCCCTGGTCACAACTCACCAGGGTCCTTCCCCCCCTGAGAGACCCTCTCAATTATATAGTATCCTGAGCCCTGGTCTGACAGCCTGACAGCAAACCCCGGACAGCGCCTGACAGTGCCCGACAGCCCGACAGCGCTGACAGCACTTTCTCTGACAGTCTGACAGCACGTATCTGACAGTCTGACAGCAGAGTCTGACAGTCGAGGGGTCCCGTCGCTGTCAGGCCCTAACGTGACAGCCTGACAGCTGCCCGACAGCCCGACAGCACACAGTGGTCTGACAGCAGCGCTCTGACAGCCCGACAGCAGCACAGACCGTACACAGACCCCGTAGAGCCTCTTTCTTGTGCCCCATGAGGGTGTAACAAAATTACATGCAAAGACATGTGAGTGTGGTCCATGTAGTCATGGGATGGTCATGGGTCTCTCTTTCAACCCTCCCGCCCCACCTCTGCGGACCCCTCTCTATCACCGGCGGCTGTGTGCTACTACAAATGAAGCTACCAGCTAGCCTTCTGGGGCCCTACAGTCATATGCCTACGGCGTCTGGGTGGGGGTGGCCGCCGCCGTCTGTGCCGCCGCCGCCGCCTGCGCCTGCGCCGCCATCTGCGCTCCTCAGGCGGCCGCCGCCGCCGGCGTGATCACGCCGTAGGAGGGGGGCAGCTGCGTAGCCGCCAGTAGAGTCCTGCTGGTCTCCACTTGATAGTGTCATAAGTGTTGCTGGTGTGTGTCAGAGCCTGACAGCACCCCGACAGCACCACCTGACAGCACCTGACAGCAACAGCCCAACGTCTGACAGCAGCAGCAGCCTGTCAGCTCCGACAGCTCCGACAGCGTCTGACAGTGCAACACCCGACAGCTCCGACAGCACCCGACAGCTACACTTGAGGCAAACCCCACTTTGGGACCTGTTTGAGGCGGTGTGACGGCTCTCACAGGGCACGGGAAGCTCGCCCGCCGTGTCTGCGTGGCCCGCCCGACCCGCGGGGAACGGCGCGCGCCCCTCCCGGCGGAGCTGGGTGCGGCAGACGGGCCCACGGGTCGGTTCCGGGCCGATTTGGGGCCGTTCTGTCTAGTTATGGGTCAAAATCGAGCTAGACAGTTAAATATCTCGCCCCCACGGATGAAACTTTTTGAATTTTCTGGCCACGATCGTCGACCGGGCCCGTGAGGCCACGGGAACGCCCTCGGATTGTACAGCACCCTCCACTAGCCACAACCGTGGGCCCTCAACCGCGTATCGGTGTCGCCGCAAAATAGCCTTCAGACGCTGTCCAGTCGTTATAAATCGGCCAATCTGGCCCCTCTGCCACAAGTTTTGCTTTGGGACGCACCGTAGCACGGTGGAGTCGAGATCCGGCGCGCAACCATCAAAAGTTTCATCAATCGGGCCCGGCTAGACCTGCCACCGGAGGCGCGCAAAATGGAGGCGATTTTGTGGTGGTAAAGCGCAAGATGGCCAGAACGGGGCGCCGCGCGCTCGGGAGCGCTCGCCGCTCGCAGGCCAACTCCTCCCCAGCACGGTGCGTGCGTGCGCTCAGGTTGAACTCGATGCCGCGACTTCACAGCCTCCGCCGTGAAGCGTCCAGCACGCCGAGGGCGGACGCTTTTCGGCGCCCATGGTTTTGGCGCAGCGCTTCGCCGGCTGTCATCCCAGTCCATGGTCGCTCCACATCGATTCCCAGGCGTGCCCGCACGCTCCTCAGGGGAGTGGGCACGCCTCTTGCTATCCTGAAGCGCGCGTCAAGCCCGCTCGACCGTGAGCTTGCTCAGCGAACAGTTTTTCAACAGACGTTGAGCGACGGGCGTGAATCTCCCACACACTCGCCAACTCCTGACTGAGCAGGCCTAGTACCCACGTGATAGCCCCACTGATCCATCCCATGCGATCAGGCGCCGCTCGGACCCCATCTTCGAGCAGGATTCCTCGCGGCAACACAACTCGGCGCTCTCGATGTGCGCGCTAGGCAGTCTCAACGCCGATTACTGCCGAGCGCGCACGACTCGTCGGCGTACCGGCGTGCCGCTGGCATACTACGCGACGGTGGAGGCGCGTGGGCTTGCTCAAAAGGCATGCATCTGTCGGAGAGTGTGCCGCAAGACCTGATGTGCCTCCGCTCCAGGTGTGTGGCAGTTCGATGGATCCAGCCCAGCGACCTCCACGTGACGATTGAGGACTGCTCTTCCCCTTCGGCCGAGCCTCCAGTCCCTGCCACCGTGCACTGGCGCCAGCGAGCTGCGTTTACATCCCGCACGCGCGATCGGCAGTCGAGTTACAACCCGCAGCTGTGCTGTGTGCGCGCGCACTCGAAAGTGGTTCGGCGATCTCTCGGCGACCACTCGTCGACTCGCGCTCGGACGCGAGGTGCGTGCTCGCCTGCCTCCCCCGGGAAGGACACGGCCATTTCCAGCGAGATCTGTGGAATCATCCTCACCACCCTGCCCTCACGCCACCCAACCCGTCCGGCTGCTGCCATACTGGGACGTGAGTGCAATATTTGTGCTGCCCTCGCCATCCGACGCGTGTGCTCCGCTCCCTGCAGGCGGGGATCGCCGTCGCGCACCAACACGCTTCGTCCGGGAGGCGCGCGGCGCGACCCGCGTTGCGAGAGCGTCGGCGGAGCCCGCGTGCTGGCCCTCTCCGGGACCGCCGCCGGGGCCCAGAGGGCGCAGATTCGGCCCCCCAGGGTCAAAGAGGGCGGTTCTGACACCGCCAAGCGGTGCTTTCGTGGACCCCACGAGCTCGCGTTCATCCGTTCAAAAATATTTATTTACCCGCAGTTTGCCTCAAGTGCAGCTACAGATCCCCTCGACTGTCAGACACGCACCCGACAGCACCCGACAGCACTGACAGCACCTGACAGCTGGTCTGACAGAGGCACCTGACAGTGCCTGACAGCTGCCCGACAGCCCGACAGATCACCTGACAGCACCTGACAGTCTGACAGCCAGTGAGAGGGCTCAAAGATAGTATTATAGAGCTGTGGAGAGCTGTGGACTAGTTTGCGCGGCGGTAGAAAAAGGCCGGTGGGCTGACCTCCTGAGCGAGCGCGAGCTGCGTTTTTTACTCGAATTCAGCCACTCGCTGCGCGCGTTGCCGTGCCTGGCCCCACACATGAGATTGAGAATATATGCCCGGGTCGCGAGCTCGACTCAGATATCTCGGCTCTCGCGCCAAAACGACGTATACCTAGATGTAACCGACACAGCTCATGAGCTCGGAGAGTACCGCACGACGTGCCGCACGATGGGCAGCAGGTTGTCCGCGGCGGCGTCGCAAAAGGCGTTGAAGTCCGCCGCCGCGTCGCCGGTCGCGAGGTCGGACAGCGCGCGCAGAGAGAGGTACGGCACAGAGTATGCTCGGCAGACCTGCGCGACGGCGGCGTTCTCCATCTCGCAGCAGGCGGGATCGCCGAGGTGGCACCAGTGGGTCGCCGCCATCTCGGCCTTCATCGCGGTGTCGCAAAACTTCGACCCCGACGCGATGCGGCCTTCGCTCAGCGCCGCGCCGGCGGGCGGCGGCGCGCCGCGCGCTACCTTGAGGAGCTCCGGGTCTGCAGGGTAGACGTGCGCCCACTCGACGAAGGGCGTCTCGCCCAGCCGCAGTTGGTAGCTCGGGTCCCAAGGGTACTTGAACGCGCGGCAGTCCATGTCGTAATTGATCACCGAGGCGCCGAGTACGATGTCGCCGATCGACTGGCCGGCGAGGAGCCCGCCCGCCACGCCGGAGAAGACGAGCTTAGTGGCGCCGAACTCGGAGATCATCGTGGTGGCGGCGGACGCCGCGAACACCATGCCGACGTTGGAGGCGCCAAAGACAACCTCGCACCCCTCCAGCTTCCCTGTCGTGAAGCTAAAGACCTCGCCGCGCTTGTGCTCGACCTGGTCTGTGACCACCTTGCGGAGGGCGGCGATCTCCGCCGGCATGGCCGCGAGTATGCCGAACCGGGCGACGGGGGCTGCAGTGGTGCTGGGGAGCGGCATCGAGTGTGTGCGGGCTTCTCTCTCGCCGAAGAAAAGAAATCATCTTTCTTTTTCCAGCGATAGCTTGGGATGTCCGTTTTATTATTTATTTATTTGTTTATTGTACCCGCGTCGTGCGCTCGTGCGTTGAGAGTGTGATCTCCAAAGTGTGTGAGGGCGAGATCTATGGCGAGATGTCAGATGAGACGAGTCACAGACTCACACGGTCAGGAGAGTTTTTACGAGAGAACGCGGATACAGACACAAGAAGACAAGACGCACTCTCTCACGTTACAAGGGACAATCTGCAACAGTGCACAGTGTGGAGTTCAGGCCTGGGCCCGAGCCCCTAGGGCGACAAGACATGCGCAGAGGGCGGTGAAGCGCGGTGGGGGGGCGAAGTCGAAGACGAAGAGAATGAGGCTGAGAGAAACTCCGCAGAGCCCGAAGAGGGTTGGCACGAGCTAACTACCCCTGAAGTGGGGCAGTGAATGATGGCCTGCTGAGCCGAGTTATGGCGATGGCCCGCCAAATGGTGAGGAAGTGAAGGTTGGGTTGATCCGTCGGGACAGTGCTGCACCGACCCCAAGGGGTCGGTAACTATGCGGAGGTGCCTCACGGCAGGCCACCATCTAGGCCACCATTGCCGTTGCCTCCTCCTTCTTCTCCTCCTCCTCAGGGCTGCAGCCCTTCGAGTTCGCCGGCGAACTGGCGAACTGGTTCGTGAACTGGTTCGGTGAACTCGTGGTTCGTTCGTGGTTCGTTCGGAGGGCTGGTGGATTAACGTTAACACGGTGTTGACACGTTAACGGTTAACACCACAGCCGTAGAGGTGTTAAAACGTGTTAACACCGCCCCTCGGGAGGTGTTGACCCGCCGTCTAGCATATTCACTTCACACCCGCAGCTGCGATTGCGAAGTCGGCAATCGCTGCATCCACATCCTCCTCTTCCGCCTTTCGGTACTTCTTGAGCGCATTCTTCAGCGGCGTCTTGCCACAGTTCTCGTACAGCTCCTCGAGCTCCACCCAGCGCGTGTCGATGAATCCAGCGTCATTGCTGTCCTCTTTGAAGGTGCCTCGCGTGAGGTAGCACACGGCCTTGTCGGCAGCAGCCAGCCTGTTGCGCCGCTTCTTTGCGATGAGTTGCTCGGGCTCGCAGAAGCGCATGCCGAGCACCGCATCAATCTTGAAGCAGAATGTCGGCACGACCGCATCGTCCGCACCGCCACCTGCCAGCCGCGCCTGCCGCTGCGCCGCAGCCGCTTTCTGGCACTTGTAGCGGCAGCACATGGTGCGGTGCGCGTACTTGAGCAGATGGTGCGCGCTGCAGTTGGCGCAGTGGCCCTGGGAGTAGGGCGCGCGCGGCATTGACGCGGACCCAGGTATTTCTCGGGTATACCCGGTTTTTTGCAGGTATACCCGGGTTTTACCCGGAGCGTGTGTCAACACCGTGTTAACGGCTGTGTTAACGCTTGTTTTGGGACTGCCGTTCAACTGTGTTAACACCGACCTCTGCGCCAAGTGTTGGCACGATCTGTAGTCAGAGCTGCCCCTGAGGTGTGTTAATGTTAATCCACCAGCCCTGCGAGCTCCTCCTCCAGCCCTCCACCGGCCCCGCCCCGCCCATGGTGCCTGCCTTGTCAGCCGAGGGGAGGTGCCACTGAGGTGTGGCTGGGGGCGCCGCCGCGGTGCCCGCCGGTGCCCGTGAGGTGCACCAGCCTTGGGAGCCCGCGGGGCCAGCCGCCGCCAGCGCGCTGCCGCCACGCCGCCAGCCTCTGCCTGCAGCCACGCGCCCACGCCCGCGCGTGCGCCGCCTGCGCCACCTTCTTGTCCACCTCTGCTTCTGCCCGCACAGGGGCAGCTGTGCTCTGCCGCGCGGGTTTACGAGACGAGCGCGGTGTCCCACCGGTGAGGTCTCGAGGTTTGGGTCGGGAGCTGGAAGGAACTTACAACTTTATTGCCAGAATTTTCGCGCTTTCGGCGTTCTTCATGATTGTTCTCATCCTATCGCTTTCACGCTTTGCGGCGACTCGTGAAACCGACAAACGCCGATACGGTCGTGCCGCTACTAGGCTCTCAGCTGGAGCGAGAGGGCGTAAAGCCGATGATTTGCGCGGTCGGCGGCTCGTCGGCCACGACTGCTGGCCAGGAGCCTGGGCCAAAGTCGAGCACGCTCACCGACGAGTCGGGCACGCATGCGGCCTCCTCCGAGCCCAGTGCCTCCGCGAGAATCTCGTGCAGCCCTCGCTCGTCGCTCACAATCACGCTAGCCGAGCCGTCCCGCGTCCCGCGAATCACAAAGTCTCTCACCGCGAGGGCCTCCTCCCGCGCCGCCGCCTCGCCTGCCAAGCCCTGTGATGTCTCCACGCCGAGCCCGCCGATGACCGTCGGCGAGAGCCGCGCGGCAAGATGCTCGGCGCCGCCAAGCGACGCTGGCGTGGGCGACGCCAGGACGAAGCGCACGTCGGCGCCAAAGTGCTCCGCCAGCGCGTCGGCGGTCTCGGTGGCGGCCACAGTGGCAGCGGGCCGGAGTAAGATTAGCCGCCGAGCGCTGTGGTGGACCGCCGGGACGCCGGATGGGTCGGCGTGCAGAGCGAGCTGCGCGAGAGCCGCGCTGATCAGCATACGTGTGTAGGGATCCCTGCGTACATGGGGCGGCGCGCGCTAGGGACAAAAAGAGACTCGAATTCCACCAGGGACATCCTTAAAATCCCTTGTGGCGGCGTGCCGTCCTCCCATCCCTCCCTTGGCCTATATGTTTTCTTTCTGACCAAGGGACATTGTCGGTGTAAACACACCGGCCAGGAGCGGGAGCGCCAGAGAGAAGGCAAAAGGCATGACAAGCAAAGACTCTCTCTAACGCCGCGGTCAAAAGAGACCGACGGACCTTGAATTTCGGCGGACGCCGAAATTCACACAAGCTGATCGAGCCCAGCGTGCCCGCGGCCGCCTCCCGCGCAGCACCGCCGCTGGGGACGACACGCTGCGGAATCGGATCGAGCCCATGCACGGGCAAAGAAGGACGCTGCAGAAGCGGTTGGAGAGGCAGCCGGCGTCTGCCGTCACAACGAGTCCCAGCGCTGGTTGGACATGCGCGTCGGCTCGCCCGAGGACTGCTGTCGCGACCCTCCCGTCGTGACGCAGCCTCCGACGAGCTCTGCAACCGAGGAGAGTGAGGGTGCGCCTCCCCTCACTGCTGGCCTGGCTGCGCACCGCCCCACAAAGCACCCCCTCGAGCATCTCTACAAGTACAAGTACAAGGGCGACCTTCTCCAAGTCGTCAACACGCTCGGCGGCTCCGGCAAGACTTTAGCCTTGGCCACCCTCCTTGCGGAGCAGGAGGAGATCCGCTCTCGGTCGGCAACGTGGCAGCTAGTCGAGAGACTCGGTAGTTGTGACCCCCCTCTGTGCTCTGAGTGAGGACAGGAGAGAGAGAGCTTTTGTGGTGTTGGTGTACGCAATATCGGGCGGTGGAGTGGCGCGGCGGCGGGCGGCGCGAGGCGGCGGCGCGGCGAGGCAGCGGGCGACGCAGGGCGGGGCGGCGCGGCGGCGGTGGGGTAATTAATTATTTGTTAATTAATTATTACTTAATAATCATCGGGCGGCGGCGCGGCGCGGCGGCGGGCGGGGCGGAGCGGGGCGGCGCGACCATCTGTCCTGACGGGGGAAACCTTTGATGCAGAACAATGGTCGTGCCGCCCTCGACTCAAGGGGCTGCCTTCCATCCGCCGCTGCTCAGGCCGGGGGAGGGGGGGAGACCTCCTGTCCCTCGCGGAACGGGAGCAGGCCCCTCCTTGCCCGGTCTGCGAAGCAGGGCGGTGGTCGTGCCATCTTCGCTTCACAAAGACCACGCCGCAATCGTCGCCGGCGCGCGACGCGTTCCCGTAGGCCGGACTGTCCTGGTCGAGAGTGTGTGCCGCCAAGGCGGGGCTACTCGAGGACAGTGCCGACGGGACGCGGCTCGAGAGACGACTCCCGCGAAGGCACGGCTGGCATCCGTGGCGTGGGGCTCGTCTTCGAAAAGTCGGGCATGGCTCTACCCGCAACTTTCTCGCTAACACGCGCGCACTGCCGAGCCTGCGGTGGGCGCGCTGAGGCCGCACGTCTACCTCCGTCATAGTGCCACGACGTGCGGCCTAGAATTAGCACACGCGCTTCTGCTCGCATACACTCATACAATGAATTGTCATCACCCGTGAGTGCGAGATAGGGCTAGCAGTAGGCAGCTAGCCTGTGAAGAGAGCGTCCATAGACACCTCACATGACCCCACACACGGTCTCGACCGTGCCTCGCCGGCCGGAGAGATTGCTGGAGGTAGAGCAAGCCTGCTCTAGCCTCGCATGTCACTTCCTGTTGTCTGTTGTTTGTTGTGCCCTTGTTTGTTCTCTTGGCACCTTGGAGTGCTGGGGGGGGCAACAGGGAGGATGTGGCCTTGAGTTATGTGTACGCCTACTCAAGGTGTGTGGCAGCCCGCTGGCTGTGTGTCTTGTGAGCCTGTTTGTGTCTGTGTGTCGCTCGTGCGTGTCGTCATCATCTGTCTAGCGTCCACCCATACCGCGTTGGTGTCCAGTCCGAGCCTGGCTGTTCTTCACCTTTCTACCTACCTACCTACGCAATAACGGGACAGGGTAGTCGTTCTCTCTAGCTCCCCTTCTAGCTCTTAGCATGAGCTGCGCCCTGTGTCCGACCCCTTTTGCGCAGCAACACCTTAAACTTTTAGGCCCTCCAAATTCGGGTCGGAGCGTAGGTAGCGGAGTGGGCCCCGAGTTTGAAAAGGGCGACGGACGCTTGCGTCCTAGCCTCCAACAACGCCTCCCCGGCGCAGAGGGGCCCCCGGAGGGATGCTCAACCGCTCCACGCCACGCCGCTTGCGGCGGTCCTCCTCTTCCCAGCTCCGCTGAGCCTGAGGGCCCGTGCTAATTATTTTTCTCCCGCGAAAGGCATTCGCTCCAGGGTTCCGGCTCCTACCCGGATAGGGGGTCCTGTTGGGACTGACTCGCGCCAAAACGCCCTACCTACCTACCTATCCCCAGGCCGCGCAGCGAAGCGAAAAAAGATGAAAATGGGTGGTACGTACCTATTGCAGGGCCCTTTTGGGCCAAACAAGACCAACCTACCTACCTATCTGGGAGGGGCCAGCCACGGCAGACCCCCTATCCGGGTAGGAGAAGGAACCCAGGGCGACCGGGCGCCCCCCCCCCCCCCCCTCCGACCACACTGCCTCCCTACAGGTCCTGGCTTCGGTTTCGCAACAGCTTCGTTTTCACAACACGGCCGCCTCGCGACGCCGCGCCGTCGTGCAGATCGTGCCCGAGCCGTCCACAAGGCCGCCGGCACATTTGCCAATGTGTGCCCGGAGCGCAGGGAGTCGATGGGTGCCGCAGTCCAAGCGATCACTGCACTGCAGTGCTCGCTCGCACTGCGGCGCTGCGCCACGGCGGCGAAGCATGTCTGGACTTCAAGGACAGTGCTTCTCCGCTGCTCGAGGCTTGCGGCAAGGTCCAGGCCGACCACACGGAGCACCCGAGGCAGCTGGCGTGGCCTCACTCATGACCTGTGCTACCCGTCGGCGGGGCCAGCTGCGGTTTCACAACGCGCCTCATTTTTGGCACCCTCCTGCTAGCCGCGCATGAGTAGGGAGACCGTGTGTGGTGTCTTCGCGGCCTAGAGCACCCTCTTGGCAGTCTATATTCCGGATTTTAGCCCTCCTGTCGCATCTGGTGAGCCGTACCATAGCGAGGACCAAACGCGTTGTGAAACCAAAGCCGGGACCTGTACTATCATTTAACAAATGGCCTGGCGCCAGGAGCACGGCAAGCCCGGCCACGCTGCTCCGCTCGACGGCGAGAAGGACCTGTCGTGGAAGCCCGGCGGCGGCGGGCAGGCGGCAAAGGAGCGGGCAAAGGAGATGCGCAAGTATGCCGAGCAGCGCGCCTTGCAGAAGGAGTCGGAGCGGGAGGCTAGGCGGAGTGAGAAGGCTGCGGCGGAGCGCCAGCTCAAGGAGATCAAGGCGGCCGTGACGTCGCTCGACATCAGCGCAGAGGACGTGCGGCCGATCTGCAGGTTTTTCGAGCTCGGCAAGTGCAATAAGGGCGCCAAGTGCAAGTTCCGCCACGAGGCGGCCGCCGCGGCCCCGGAGGGCGGCGCGGACGCCCCCGCCACCGCCTTCGACGTGGTTGCCGAGATGCCTGCCGACGCGTGGCTGCAAGTCCTCTCGCGGCTCGGCGTCGGAGGCCCGCTCGCTGGCAGCCACTACACTAACAACCCAGACCCTCACCAACCCTTGTCGGCCCTGACTAGGAGCGTGCTCGCTGGCTGCAGTCTGCTCTTCACTCGCCGCCATCGTCGGCACGCCGGGCGTGTGGGAGGAGAAGCGCGCGAACGTCTTCGGCGGCGGCGCCGAGAAGAGGGGCGGCGAGGAGAGGGGCGGCGAGGGCGGCGAGGCGGCGGCGAGGCGCGAGTGTTGCGTGAGCGAGGCCTCCACGGCTGGGAGGGGAGATGCCGCGAGGTTGCTCGAGATGACCCGAGATTGCGAGCCTAGGCCTCTCTCCACGGCTGGGCGCGCGCCTCTCTCGAGCCGCCGTCCGAGCTGCCGCTGGGCGAGCTGACGTCCGCCGCGATCGCAGGCTCGCGCGGGGCAATCTCGGGCCATCTATGGTCCATCCCAGGCCACCTCGGTCCATCTCCCTCAGGCTCGCTCGGCCTGTCGACGCACCGCGGCAAGATGGTGCGGCTCTGGGAGGCGAAGAGCGGCCGCCGCCTCGGCGCGATGGCGCTCAAGGAGAAGCCGCTCGTCTGGTCGAGCGGCTGTGATCCGTGACTGTGGTTGTCAACGAGCATTCATGAATGGCAGGAGCAGCCATTCGGCTGCGACGTCGGGGTCGTCGGCGTGCGCAAGGGCGCGTGCGACGTGGCTGGTTGTCGGACGGTCGCTGCCGTCGGCGACGTCGACGGCCGGCTGTGCTTGCTCTTCCTGGAGGAGGCGAGACCAGCCGAGATGACCCGGAGATTGCACCGAGATTAGGCCGGCTGTACCTGCTCGATCTGGAGGAGCCGCTCGAGAGCCGGACACAGCGCGGCCCCTTCTCTCCGCGGGGAGGTGGGCTCGCCGCAGCTGTCACTGGTCGCTTGGGGTCCGTCACCTGCGATGAGCACTAGGCGACCCCGCCGGCGGACTGGAGCCGAGGGAGGTGATGTGCAGCGTGGTGCTGCTGCAGGGGACAGGCAGGGCGGGGGCACGGCGCGGGGGCGGGGGCGGGGGCGGAGGCGGAGGCGGCGCCGCCGGTGATGCGGTGGCGGCGGAGGATGCGGAGGCGGCGGATGAGGCGGAGGAGGGGGGCGGGGAGGACGATGGCGACGGCGAGCGAGAGGGAGGAGGAGGCCGCTACACGCCGCTCGCGGAGCCTGTGGTCATCGCGAGTGCGTATCGAGACGGTCCGGCCGCGGTGAGCAGCAGCCCGTTCCTGTGCGAAGTGCCTAAGGTGGTCGGTGATGGTTCGTAGGCCTGATCACGGTGAGCAGCGCGAGCCTCGATGGCTGGCGCTCCGCCGACGCACCGCCCGGCGCGCGGACAGCGCATGAGAGCTGGCGCGGCGCTCTCTCGTTCGACGTGGCGGAGGGCGCGCTCAGTTTCGGCGGGCGAGACGAGCTGCCGGAGCAGGGCGGTTTGGGCCGCCTCTGGCAGTCGGGGCGGCTGCCTCTAGTCTCGCTCGCGGATGGAGGCGTGCAGCGCGGGGCGAGCGCGCTGTACGCGGGCTGGAACTTGCTGGGCGTCGCCATCGACGTGGGGGTTCGGGGGCGGCAGCGGCGGGCGCCGAGATTGGCCGAGCTCATTCGAGACTGCCCGAGGTAGGTGGAGACGGGGCAGCAGCGGTGGGCGTCGAGCCCTACCGCCGAGAGCGCCGAACTCGACGTGTTTGCTGTCGGCGAGACCGGCGAGGAGCCGCCGCCGTGTGTCGCCGGCACGCCCTCGCGTGAACTAGGGGTGGGAGGACCCGGCCCCTTCCCTGATCCTTCTCGGAACCATGCCTTAGGCGCTCGTCTCGCGTGCTACTCGCCAGGGTGGGGCTTGCTCGCGCTCGCATGCCGGCGCACAGCGGCTCTGCGGGAGCCGCGCTGCGGGTTGAGATGGATTGATCCGCTCGTTCAACGACTCAGGCGGACGGTGGCACTGTGGGACCCTCGCTGCTCGTCGCCCGGGCCCGTCGCGTCCGCAACGGCGCCAGCGGACGGGGCTGGCCACGCCCCGTTTCTTGCGCCGGACGGCGGCCGCGCATTTCGCCGCCAGCCATGTCCGTGGCAAGTCCGAGACACGTCCGTGACAGTCCCGCAGGCGGCTGCGTCCACATCGACGCCGGCGTCGACGGCCACTGGAGCGGCCACCTCCTTCATCTGCCCCCCGGCCCAGACGAGGCCATCCATCTGTACGACATCCGCCGGCCCGCCCGCCCACCCGCCGACCAACCACACCTGTCAACATGCCCACCAGCACCAGCACTGATTAGGCTCGGCCGTCCGGCCGCGGAGCGGCGCGAGCGGCGGCGGTCGCCGCTACCTCTGGTGGCGAGCATCTCCGTCGCGCGCCGACACGCCGGAGCTTGCTTCGCCGCGGGCGCGGACGGCCTCGTCGCGGCGGCGGCCGCCGGGCACGACAAGAAGGCGGGTGCGAGTGTGCGGTGGGCGACGGCGCGGCTGCATCTCAGGCGCCGCACGGAGGCTGGCGGCGGCGACGAGGCGGCGGAGGAGGCGGCGGCGAGGGCGGCGAAGGCGAAGGCGAAGGAGGAGGCGGCGAAGAAGAAGAAGAAGCGGGTCGTCACCAAGGGCGGCGGCATGAAGATGAAGCAGGGAAGCTCGGGTCGGACGGGCTAAGTCTCGTCGACACCTCCCAACCCTAGTCCCAACCGCGCCAACGCTTTTAGAGCGAGTGCCGCCCTCTTTGATTTTACAAAAAAACGCAGTTCACCACCTCCGGGTTTACGATGCGGCCTGGCTCCTCCGAGTTGATCGGCTCGCTCGGGTCGAAGTAGAAGAGGAGGCGCACGCGTGGCTGCGACGCAAACCGCACGCGCTGCAGGCGCGACTGCGCAAAGAAGTAGCCAGAGACCTGCTGGACCCACTTCATGCTGCTGCCCTCTCTCCCGTACAGCTCTTCCCTGGGGAGGAAGGCCTCCTCTGCGCCGCACGCCTCCACCGCCTCTCCCTCCCGCGCGGCTCGCATGACGTTAGGCAGCCTGTCGAAGATGGTGCTCGTGATGGCCTTCACCACCAGCTTGCGCACCCTACTGTCGTCGTTGATTGCGGCACACAGGAGGGAGACGTCTCGCTCCTCCATCCGGCGCATCGCTGCCGCCTCGCCGTCGCCGCAGAGGTCGCAGCCGATGCCGCGCAAGCTCGCGGCGATTATACGCGACTGCGCGTCTCTCGTTAACGAGAGGTGGAAGGGGATGCCTTTCGGACCTCCGATGAGGCTGCTCTCGCGGAGGGTGCACTCGACACGGCCAGATGGACAGGCAAAACACGCCGCCGCGGCTGGCGAATACGCCGATAGCCGGAAGGCCCCGGGCAGCAGCCGTTCCACGACGAGCGGAGCGACGAGCCAGGCGCGTCCGACCCAGCCGAGGCTAGTGAGCTCGCGGCTGCGCCGGAGCACGTCTGCTCGAAGGAAGCTCTGCACCTGGGGCTGCGGCTGGAGGTCGGCGAAGGGTGGCGGTTGAAGAACGCTGAGCACCACCAAAGCTGCTGGCAAAATCATGCGGTGAAGCGGGTCGTTGCTTCACGCGCGCGCACTCTGGCGAGGGACTTCAGCACACTCCGGGCCCTGGGGGAGTCAGCGTGGGGTCGGGCTACCATGTCCGACTTTCGACACACACAAGAATAAAGCCTGCGGAGCTGATTTTCACACCTTTAAAACGACCGTTCAAACGCACCCTCTTGACCCATGCAGCCGGCTGCTTGCTGGTGGGACTAGGGCCGCTGAGGCCCGCAAGAAGAATGAGCAAAAAAGTCGAAAATGGCGACTTGCACGAGCATGCCAAAGTACCACTTCGCGTGCGGTTCGAGGGGCAATCCGAGCCGGATTCACTGTGAACAGCCCGCTCCCGCCCGCCGCGGAACGGGCTTGCCGCGAACGCGCTGAGCGCTCGTACGGCATGCCTTCAGCCAGGATCACCTGCGCAGTGTGTGGGCACAAGCAGCGCCAAGGCAAGCCCTTCCGAGTCACTGAGTCCAACCTGCCGGCAGTGCTCCTCTTCTTCGCCGCCGCGTCCATGGCGGGCGCCGATAAGCTGCACGCTGGTGTTGACCTCTGCACCACGACCCGCCATCAGTACAAAGGCCCCAACGGCAGGTCCGCCCCTGTGGATCTGCCACCATGCATCAGCCAACGCGTGGCTGAACATCACGGCATGGAGGGTGAGCCACACCGAACGTACCGAGCGAAGAGCCGAGCGGAAGGAGGACGGGGAAGATGACTCCGAGGAGGACGAACCAGTGGAAATCCAGTTGTCAGATGTCACGATGCATCCGAAGGGGACCCCAGCGCCGGCATCATCCGTAGAGGCACGAGTGTTCGAAGAGAGAGTGGACCTGAGCAACAACATGACCTGTAGGCAAATGATCGGAGTGGGAGTCAGAAATGTGGTCCTTGCGCGAGGAGAGCTCGATAGACTCGAGGGGCCAGGATACGCCGCGAGGAGGACGGAGTTGCGCCGAAAGGCGAAAGATCAAGTACACCCCCAAGACTCCCCGGAACCGCCCAGGATGAGCTCCTGAGGTGCCAGTCCGCCCGAGATATGACCGGTTGAAGCTGGCTGGGGTTCCACGTTCCACGTTAGGCTGAACAAGCTTTTCCTCTCGCACCCCGTCTCTTTTCCTTTCCTTTTTTCTCTGCCGCACCCTCTCTTTTTCTCTCTATTTTCCCGGGAAAACCATCAAATTTTCCGGGCTCTGAGCCGAGTCTGAGGCTGGTTTGGGCCCAAAATCAGCCAAATCGGCAAAATACCGGGTATTTTGCGGGTATACCTGGAAAACCCCGGGTATACCTGGAAAATATCCTGCGACCGCCTGGGTATCGTGCCGATTTCCTCAATTTTGCGTCAGATTTTGCCCCAGACCAGCTCTCAGACTCAGGGAAACTCGTGAGTTTCCAGAATGGAGCACCAAACACCCTCTGTTTTCCCTGGAAATTTCCGGAAACGCAAAGTGCTGGGGACCCTCTGTTTTCCTTTTTGTTTGCCGGAAAAGCTTGTGCAGGCCAAGTTCCACGGTCAGGATGGAGGTGCCGAACTGGATGGGGGTCAGCTGGGGAGGCTGTTGTGGCGCACCGGACCGCCCCCCAGCACCGTGCCCCACCCAACTGCATCCATGGGAGTCACAAAAAACGGTGCTACACTCGCGGCTGCAAGCACTCACGTCTCACGACACTCAAACCCACCGCCTGCCTCCTACCCTGTACGAGGAGCCATTTCACCCGTGCAAAACATCTGCACAGGTGTACCGCCGACGCTCAAGCGCCGGGCCCCTACTAGAGTAGTCTTGTGGGACCCACAAACGACCAATACATCCACTCGGGGCTGCAGCATGTGTCCGGGGGGGGCATCCCCGTGAAGCAGCCAGCAGGTGCCGGACACGGCGTTGGCCGTCTTGGACCGAGATCAGGGCGCAACTGCCTATCTCGTGGGGCTGAAGGACCGTCATGGGGTCGGCTTTGATGCTGCCAATCAGTCGGGTCGATAGGTGGCGCCCCAGCGAGATGCGTTGCAGGTGCTCGGCGTCGCCTGCTTGTGTGGCCTGAACGCACTCGCGGGAGCCAGAGAGCAAAGGTGTGCGCGAATTGAGGCTTCTGAGCGAGTTCAGGCAAGCCACAGGACCGGCCATGTGCCTTGGTAGTCGAGCGGTGGCCGGAGGTAGCCTCCAGTAGTGCCTCTCAGTTCGGCACCTCGGTCTCGACCACGACAGACTGGGAGAAGGACAGAGCTTATTGGGAAACCGGCGGGAGGGATGGGAGAACGTCGGGCCGCCCCACTCGACAGAGACGGACCGGCGAACTGAACGGAACCGATCAGCAACGGTGTCGACCGTCGAGCGACTCCGTGTGACGAGCCGGACTGTCGCAGGAGATTGGGTACGAGGACGCGCACAATGACTGGCAGTTCAACCCGCAGTTCAACCCCACACCCCCACACGACAGTCCCAACCCACCCCAGCACACCTACCTAGTATCACTCTCTCCCCCTCCACCAGTCTGTGATGAATGGTCTACCTATGTCCCTATCCCGATATCCCTACCTTCCCCACACCTCAGTCGTCTTCACACGGCTGCCATCGCAGAGCAGATTCTAGAGCAGATTGTGAATGAGCTTGCCTGCGGCGAGGGCGATCGATCGATCGAGTGCACGGAGCTAAGTAAGTGCCTCGCCGTCCTCGCAGGAGTCGCTTGCGGCTCCCGTAGTGTGACTGTGTTAGTGCCAGTGCGCGCCAAAAAGAAAGAAAGAAAACAGACAACCCAAGTGCGCGCCAGAAAGAAAGAAAGAAAACAGACAACCCAAGGGAGGGATGGGAGGACGGCACGCCGCCACCACACAGGGATTTTAAGGAGAGGTGTGTGGTGCGCTATCCGTCGCCCACCCTAGGGAGTCTGCCTCTTCCTATCTCTCTTCGCAGTCTCTCGCCGAGTGCGCGCCAGTCCCGTGCCCACAAGCCGGCAAAAATTCTTTTGCTGGTCGCACGATTCACGCGACAGGCAAGGCGCGCGACGCCCTCATCTTTTGCTGTTTAGTGTGCCGCGCGGCGCCGTTTGTGGCAGCTCAGACGAGCGTGACCCCGGGCTTGCGTCAGTGGTCAATGATCTGGCTCCTCTGCGCCCCGGCCTCGTTCGCGCAGCCCAAGCCCGGCCTGCTCTCCAGCCTCGCCGCCACGGAGGCTCCTCGACCCGCCGCGACGATCAGCCCGGCCCGCGACAGCACCTCCGCCTCTTCGCGCATCTACTTTGACGTGCTCACGCTCAGTTCGCCTCGCGCAAGAGGCTCCGCCGCATTCAAGGGGAGCCCGCTCGGAAGGCTCGTCTTCCGGCTGAGCGGCGCGGCCCTGCTGCCGCAGCACAGCGCCAACGTGCGGATGCTCTGCACCGGTTTGCGCATACAGTGCGGTATCTCTCTGTGTGTGGCCACGTGTCGTACCGCGTCCTTCGGAAGTAGGCGAGAGGACGGGCTGCGCCTACTCCTACTCGTGGTGCCGCTTCGAGCCGGGCGCGCCAAAGACGCGTGGCCACCATGCAGTCCTGCGCGGCAAGGGGCGGAATGCTGTCGGCAGATCGGACTCGCTGATCTCGGACGACAAGTCGCTCTCCCGCTGCGAGCGGCCGCTGGTCGGCGGGGGTGCCTACTACGGCGTCGAGTTGGACTCGGACGATGCGGCGACCGACACGGTGCTGGCTGTGCCGGTTCGCGGCGCCGGCAAAGGCACATCCCGCCTCTCCTTCCTCACTGGCCTCGCGGGCGCTCCAGAGGCGACGCGGAGGAGGCTGCTGCTCGACCAGGCGGTGATCGGTGTAGCCGACGGAGGAGAGACGGCGGAGGCGATGCACGCCCTCCTCGCGGGTCTGCGCGAGCGCAAGGCGGTGGCGGTGTCGAGCTGTGGCGAGCTCTTTGAGAATGGCAGCACCTCTGCCATCCGGTGCATGTTTGTGCCAGCTCCCGAAGAGGACCTGCCGGATGACGTACCGCCCGCGAGCTGACGGTGGGGTTTTGTTGTAGAGACACCGTACGAAACAACACACAGACTCCAATACACAAGACCCCAATACTCAATCTCATGGAAGATGGACCGACAGAGGAGAGAGAGAAACTCAGTAACTCACTGACACGGTGACAGGGCGAGGCTGGGGAGAAAATCTAGCTGTGGACCGGATCGAGTGCCACATGCTCAAGGTATTTCTACATGCGAGGTTGCAGGTGAAGGAGGCGCAAAGGTGCGTCACCAAAAAGCGCACCACCCGACGTACAGCTGGCACAGGTTGGAGTTGGAGCGCGCCTCGGCGATGAGGCGCTCGACCTGCGTCGGCACGTTGAGCGGCTCCGGCGCGAAATCCTCGCCGACCAGCTTGTCGCGCACCCGCCGCAGCACAGCGCGCGCGCGCGCGTTGAGGGCGTCCTCGTCCTGGTTGCCGCCGCCGTCGTGCGCAATCGACTCGTGCATCATCGTCGCCACCTACAGCGGGTCCGAGAGGGCTCAGGGAAGGCTCCGCGAGCGTGATGGGCCCCTGCACCACGGCCGCCACCGAGACGACCGAGCGCGAGATTGGCTGGTGCGAGAGCGCCGGGTCGGACGACTCGAGCTCGATGGTGGCGATGCCTTCGCCGAGCCCGGACGATCTCGCACGCTCGCGATGCCTATGCCTCGGCCAACCTCGGGTGCTCGCCGGTACTCTCGGGCACCCGCTCGTGACGCAGCTGCTGCAGCGAGGTTGGTCATTTCGGGTCATCTCGGGTCATCTCAAGTCGTCTCGGGGCATCTAGGGTCATCTCACCGCTGCTGCAGCCGGTCTGAGGTGGTCGTCAGCACGACCGACCGGCGAAGCGAGCCCACGCGCATCACCGGCCCGCCGCTGCGGCGCGGCGCCTCTCCCTCCGCACCGCGCTCGCCACTGACGCCGACGCCGCCACCGCCGCCTCCGCCGCCTCCGACGCCGCAACCGCCGCCTCCGCCGCCTCCGCCGCCGCCGCCGCCTCCGCCTCCTCCTCCGCCGCCGCCGCCGCCGCCGCCGCCGCCGCCGCCGCCGCCGCCCGCCGCGCCTGCCCGCAGACCGACCGGAGACCGCCTCCGCTCGGGGCGGGCGGCGCCGCCGGCCGCAGAGCGCACCTCCGCACTCGCACTGGCTCGCGAGCCGAACGGCGACGTCGCACCGCCCGCGCGCGCTCCGAGCGGCGAGCGGCGCCGCTCGGTGGGTCGGCCCGCCTGTGTGGGAAAGCTCCGAGAGGATTCCGAGACGGTCCGGAGGAGGGCTTGCTGGTCGGGGGGTGGGTCCGCCTGCGGGGACGCGCCCCCCGAGGTCGGCGCCTCTTCGAGCGCCTCGTGCTGCACGGCCTGCGGGGGGCGCAGCCGGCGTGTCGATGGGCGGGCGAGATTACCGGAGATACCCAGAGGACCTGCCGGATGAGCAGCCGCCAGTTGATGAGCGGGTCGTGCACGAACGCCTGAGACACGCCGCCGACGTGTCGCGGACGTGCCGTGGGTGCGGCCTGGCTTTGCCGCGCGCGAGCGCCTCGAGCATCGCCATCACCGAGTCCTTGTTGCGGCGCAGCACGCCCATCGCGGCGATGCAGGTCGCGCGGAAGGTGCCTGTGGGGCATACCGCGGACGTGTCGAGGACGTGTCCCGCGCATGCCTCCGGACGCCGAGCAGAAGGTGCCCTCGACGCCCGACACCTCCATCGCGGCGACCAGCATTCGCGTGAGGCGGAACGGGATCTTCTCCGGGAACTTTTCGCGCTGGACAGCAACCTCAAAGCAGTCGCCAAAATCGATGTGCCTACTCGCAGCCGGCGGCGTGAGTAGGCGCCGTTCACGCACCTCGAAGCAGGCGCCAGAGTCGGCGTGCAGGATCTTGGAAGTGAGCCGGTCGAGCATCACGTTGGAGGGGTGCCGGTCGCCGAGCCCGAGGATGTAGCCAACCATGGACATGACGGCGAGTGAACGCGTGTAGTTTGTGCGGCGGAGCAGCCAGTCCTCGGCGTTGCTCGACGAGAGCCAGAGCACGCGCGCCACATCGTCGCCCGGCGTCTGCGCGAGGGCGTGCTCGAAGGCCTAGAGGCAGCAGGGGCGGAGCGATGAGCAGTGCGTGGCTCGCAGCTCGTGCGGGGCGCGTGATCGAAAGCCTCGAGCTTGTTCAGGAGGGGCAGCTGGTCGTAGTCCGGCGCGAGCTGAACCATCAGCCGGTGCTCGACGTTGAGCGGCATCGCCTTGCGGCCGTCGCGGTACGCCTTGATGAGCGCGTGCAGCGTGTCGCAGGCCGCCACCCACGAGATGAGCCCGGAGTTGGGCGAGAGCGGGACGACAGAGTACCGCTGGATGCCGAGGTCGAGGCGCGCGCCATCGTCGGTCGAGGCGAGGAGCGCGTTGACGAGGCCGAAGAGCTGCATGACGCGCTCGTCCTGCCGCAAGTCCTCGTGCCCCTTGAGCAGGAAGTCGTGCAGCGAGCCGTCGTCGCCGTACACGCTCAGCTTGCGCGGCCGCTGCTTGGAGCCGATCACAGACATCGACCGCGCGAACGAGCCGATCCGCACGACGGGCGCCGTCGCCTCGTACGTGCCCGGCACGGCGAGCTCGAGGTCTCTTGCCTGCAGCAGCCGCGGCGACGCGTGCGCCAGCTCGATGGACGTCATCCGGCCGATCTGCTTGGTCAGCCAGCCAAAGACCGTCGAGTACAGCTCCCACGCGGACTGCAGCTCCTGCCGCGAGCGGCCGCCGAGCCGGTACCGCTCGCAGTGCTCGTGCGCCGCGCGCAGCTCCGCGCCGTAGGTGCGCAGGAAGTCGTTCTCCTCCGTCGTCACCGGCCCGCGCGAGATTTGCGCGTGCAGCGGCGCGAGGGCGGCGAGCATCCCGTCGACGTCGGACGCCTGGAAGTAGAGGCGCGACGCCTCCTCGAGCGCCGCGTGCCAGACCTCGTGCCACAGGATCGAGCAGCGGATGAGCTCCGTCGAGACGAGCGCCGCCTGCTCGACGAGCGTGTCGTTGGCCTTGCGCACCTCGGTGAGCACGCGCAACGCGGCCGTGCGGCGCGGCAAGAGAAGCGACTTGGACGCGACGGTGAGCGGGTAGATGAGGCCCTGCGGGTGCGTGCGCGCAACCTCTGCGAGGAGGCGGTTGACAGAGCGCCTACGGGGATGTTCCGCGAGGGCTCCCGGAAGGCCCCCGAATCGCTCCTCGCGAGGAGGGCGGTGGACGGAACGCACCGCACGAACGGGTTGGGCGCGTGGATGCGCGCGATGATCTGCGGCGTGACGAGCAGCCACAAGTCGGCCGAGATGTCGTCGCAGCCCGCCTGCACCGCCGCCTCGACGTCGGCGCGGTGGCCGTGCGTGAACCAGAGCGTGAGCAACCGCAGCAGGTCCTGCAGCGCCGAACCATCTCGGGTGAGTGCGGTTGATCGCGGCTGATCTCGGCTGATCTCGTCCACGGCTCCTGCAGCGCCGCCTCGCGGCCGAGGGCGATCGAGCGGAAGAAGCCGCGCACCGCAGGCACCTACACGGCCGAACGGCACCCGAGATGCAGCCGAGGGACACAGCCGAGCTTCTGGCCGCGCGCCAAGGCCACCACGAACTCGGCCGCGTCGGACGGCGGCAGCTGCTGCACCGCCTCGAAACTCACCATCGCCCAGGCGTGCCACGCCTTGTAGCTGTGCGGCGAGGCATCTGTCGCGTTGCCGAGCGAGGCCAGCACCGTCGCCGCCCGCTCCACGCTGAACGGCTGGTCCTCGCCCACCGCGCGCTGCCAGCCGCCAAGCCGGCGCCACGCCTTTGCGGCGAAGGCGGTGCCGGCCGCCTCGTAGCGCGCAAAGGTCGCCAGCCGCGCGATGGCCTCTTCGCGCGACCCGTCGGCCCACATCTGCTTCAGGTAGCCGTACGTGCCCGCGTGCCGCTGGGCGCCGTCCACCGTCCCGCCGGCATACGCCCTGTCGCCACCCAAGCCGCCGCCCAGGCCGCCGCCCGTCCTCGAGAGACCGTCGATGGAGGGGGGGAGCCGCGGCGGGCCGGGGAGGGTGCCCACGGGGAGGGTGCCCGTGGGGAGGGTGCCGTCGGAGGAGGCGCGTAGGTAGGCGGGAGGGGAAGCTCGGCCGCTCCCGCAGGCGCCGGCGCCGCCCCCGCGGCTGGGGGGCGGCGAGGCGCTGTCTGCGTGCACGACGTGCGCCGACGCGGCGGCGGCGGCGGCGGCGGCGGCCGAGGACGTCATCTCGCCGGTGGAGCGCAGGAGGGCGGCGCCGCCCGCGAGGAAGGAGGCGGTCGTAGAGGGCGAGTGGTCGGGGCTGGTCGGCTGCGTCACCGAGGCGTGCGCCGCCTGGCGCGGCATCCGCTCCCAGTGGGCGTCCCAGTCCTCGCCGAGGATCTCGGAGAGGATCTTGTGCCCGAGGGCGCCGCGGCCCGACTTGCGGCACAAGTTTGAGAACTTGAGCCACGTCTGCGGGTCGCGCGCGGGCGGCGCGACGAGGGCGCGCACCGAGAGGATCTCCTGCCAGACGTCGGCCGAGCGCTCTGCCTGCAGAAGCCGCCCACGCCAGACCGAGAGGAGGAGCGGGAGGGGCATCGCCTCCGGGTCGGCCTTGTGGAGCAGGATCTCCTCGAGCTCTGCGAGCTGCTGCACTTGCACCGTCGCGCGGTAGGCGCGGTGGTACGACTCGCCGACCAGCGCCGTCAGCTCGGACTGCAGCAGCTGCTGCGCGGCGATAATGTGGGCGCGCGCCTCGCTGAGCCGCGCATCGTGCGTCGCCATGACCGCCTTGAAGAAGGCCGTCTCGACGGTGTCGGGCCGCATCGCCGCGACGTAGCGCGCCATGCTGCCCCACTGCTGCAGGTTCCACGCGCCGCCCGCGGCGAGCCGCGCCGCCTCCGCGCGCAGCTCGCCTGTTCCCACCTCAGCCGCTCAGGAGGGGTGGAGAGAGCCTGGTGCGGGGGTCAGCGTTGACTCGCCGCCGCTCACGTCGAGGGCCGGGTCCAGCCACGCCTCGGACGCAAGCTGGCAGAGTCTCCTCCACTCTCCGAGCGCGTGGAGGCAGCGCATCGAGCCGAGCCGCACGGCGATGCTGCCGCCGGCCGCGCCGCCCTCGGCCGACTGCGACATGCGGTCGTACGCCGCGAGGGCGTCCGACCAGCGGCCCAACTTCTCGTACCACGAGACGCGCGGCTCTACGCCGAGGTCGCGCGAGAAGGCGAGCACGCCCGCCGCCGCCTCGGGCAGCTGCAGCTGGTTGTTGATCGAGATGAGCGACTCGATGTCGGCGGCGGTCGCCGTCGCCTCCTCGGCCGCCGCCGCCGCCGCCGCCGAAGCGCCGCTCGCACCGGCGCCAACCGCGCCACCTCCACCGCCGCCGCCGCCGCCTCCGGCCGCCGCCGCCGTGCGCGGCCCCGGCGCGTGCGTCCACCCCATGTCGCGCCCGGGGGGCGCCTGCGTGACGGCGGCGTGCCGGAAGGCCGCGTGCGTGAACGACATCTCTCGGTAGTGCGCCGCCTTTGCGTAGGCCTGGCAGCGCTCGGCCAGCGACCCGAGCTTGCGGACGGGGATGGGGAGCGGCTGCAGGTGGAGCTCCATGAAATCGGCGAGGTTGAGCATCTTTTGCAGCACCGCGGGCGGCATGCTCTCGCGCTCGAGCGCCGCCTCGACCGCCGCGGCGAGCAAGCCGCACCCGTCCGGGGTCAGCTGCGACCAGCAGGAGAGGAAGGCGGCGTTGAGCAGCTCCTGCGCGAGCGGCGGGTATGCCTGCGCGGGCAGCAGGCACGCGCGAAGCGGCTGTGCCGGCGAGACGCGCAGCAGCTCGAGCGCCTATTTCAGGTTGATGGTAGTGAATCATCGCACCTATCAATGAAGAGTGGGGCGCGCAGCTGCTCGAGCGCCAGCCGGCGCAGCCACTCCGACCACTCGTCGCGCGTCGCACGCTCCGCCGCACCCGCCCACGCCGTCGCCAGCGCGGCCGCGTCCACCGCCGGCGCTGCGGTGGACGAGCCGCCGGCGCCGTCCTCGCAGCCAGCCTCTGCCCCGTCCAGGGCGGCGGTGGCGGCGGCGGCCGCCGCTGCCATCGTGCCGACGGACGGCGCGGCGGGCGGAAGGGCGAAAGAGCCGGCGTCGAGCGAGGCGGTCGGAGATGCGCCGAGCGCGGGCAGCGCGACCGCAGAGTCGGAGCGATCGACGAGCCGGTCCAACCGCCCCGCCGAGCCGCGCGTCAAGTCGAGGCGCGGCGGCGCGGCGGGCTCGAGGAGGGGCGAGTCGTCGTCGGGCGCGCTGCGCCTCGAGATGAGGGGGCTCGGCCGGCAGCTTGCTCCGAGCGCGCCGAGCCGGCCGACGGCGCGGTGGGGTCCGAGGCCGGGCGAGAGGGTGGCGCGCGGGGACGAGGCCGACGCCGCGGCGACGGCCGAGGCGAGGTTGGGCGAGAGCGAGAGCATCGAGTCGCCGAGCGAGTCGGAGAGGGAGTGCAGGCAGTGGAGCGCCGGCTGGCGCAGCTCGGCCGCGTCGTCGGCGGCGCCGAGCAGCGCGAGCATCACGTGCGCGGTGTGCGCCGCGTGCTCGCGCAGGGGGAGGCGCGCAAAGAGGAGGCGCAGCAGCTTGATCGCGCGCCGGCGCGGCCGCATCGGCGCGTCGCGCTGCTGCGCGAGCCACAGCAGCTCGCCGACGACGGGCGGCGCCGCGTCGCCGAGCGAGGTCGCCATCGCGCCGAGGGCGTGCAGCACGCGGAGGGTCGGCATGCGCGTGTCGCTCCGGTCGGTGCGCAGGATGGACAACATGCGCGGCAGCAGCGCCTCGAGGTGCGGGGTGAGCTCGGCGCGCAGCGCCTCGCACAGCGCCTCGACGAGGCAGATGCAGTGCGCCTGGATGGACGCGTGCGGGCCGGGCAGGTGCGCCAGCACGAGCTCGAGCAGCGGGGGCACGTACGGCCGGCTGAGCAAACCGAGGGCGGGGACGAGGGCGCCGAGCTCGCGGACCACCGCCTCGACGAGCAGCGGGTCGGGCCCCGAGGCGGCGGCGAGGAGGAGCGGCATCACGTCCGGCAGGAGCGGCGTGGCGCGCGTGCCGAGCTCGGAGAGCACCGTCACGATGGGAGGCACGGTGGCGCGGTGCTGCGCGACGAGCGACGGCTCGCGCAGCACGCGGGTGAGGGCGGCGAGGGCGACGGCAGGGTAGTAGAGCGGCGAGGCGGCGCCGCCAGCCGCACCGCCCAGGCCGAGCGGCGCGTCCGAGGTCGAGAGGCCGCCCGCCATGCCTGGCGGAGAGGGGCCGCCCGCCGAGAGAGGGGGGGGCTCCGTCGCGGAGAGTGGGCCGGCGGCGGCGGGAGGGGCGCTGTGCGGCCCCCAGTGCGGCCCCCGCCCGTGCCTCAGCCGCAAGTGGCTCGCGGGCGCGATGGCTCCGATGATGCCGATCGCGCGCACGAGCTCGAGCCGAGCGTCGCGCGCCTATGGACGTGTCTCGGACATGTCGTGGAGGTGTCTTTGACGTTCCGAACGCCGAGCGTCGAGCGCCTCGGCGTGGAGGAGCGTCCCGAGCAGAGTGTGCAGGAGCTGCGAGCGCTGCGAGAGGGAGCCGGCGTGGCCCTGCATGCCCTTTGGCGGCGGCGCCGTGTAGCGCAGCAACCGCCACGTGGCGCGGAGCGCCGCGTGCCGCTTCTCGCTCGACGACTGGTCCTACGGGAAAAGTCTCGGACACGTCTCGGACGTGTCATGGGCGTGGCGAGGAGGCTTCTCGCCCGACGGCAGGTCCTGCAGCAGCGAATGCAGCGCGGGCAGGAGCCGCGGGACGTACGGCGTCAGGGCGGCGCCTGCCAGCTCGGCCAGACCCGCGAGCTCGCCGAGGGCGGCGAGGGCGGCGGTGGCGACGCCCGCGTCGGCCTCTCCGAGTAGCGGCGTGAGGGCGAGCACGATGGGCGTCGCGTGCGAGCCGAGCAGCTGCGGCCGCGCCTGCGGGACACGTCGTGTGGTGGACGCGTGTCGTGCCGGGGCGGCGAGCGGTACAGGCCGCGAGCGGTACAGGCCGCGCCTCGCTGAGCCGCGAGAGGAGCCTCGCCGCCTGCTGCCGCGCCGCGGGCGAGTGCGCGTGCGTCATCTGCGTCAGGAGCGAGAGGAGGAAAGTGCGCAGCGCTGGCACGACCTCGCCCGGGTTGCGCTCCGCGAGCCGGCCGAGCACGGCCAGCGCGGCCGAGCAGAGCGCGTAGTCGCCCATCTCGAGGTAGGGCAGCAGCAGCTCGACCAGCCGCGGCTGCTGCAGGTGCACGTCGAGTGGCGGCGAGAGGGCCTGCAGCGTCGCCAGCCGCGCGCCGCGCGCCGGCTCGAGCGCCGCGAGGACCAGCACCTTCTCGAGCAGCTCGACGCGCTCACACACCGACGGGAGCGCGCCCTGGCCGGCGAGGCCTTGCCCGAGCGGCGCGTCGTCCGACGGCTCGCGCGCGCCGTGGTAAAGGAGGCGGCCGCACGCCGCACCTCCGCCCGCCCTCTCGCCGCAGCCGCCGAGCACGACGAGCCGCAACGACGGCAGAGGGGGGCCGCCCTCGCAGTCGGCGGGCGGCCAGCAGCGGACGGAGCCGTCGGCGGCGGCGCAGCTCGGCGCGGCGGCGGAGGCGGCGAGGGCAGGCCGAGGCAGGAAGGTGCGGACGGGCGGAGGAGGGGAGGGCCGGCCGATCGCCGTCGCCGCTCGCGTCTCCGCCTCGGCAGCGAGGGCGGCGAGGACGGTGCAAGCCCCGACGGCCGCGGCGGTGCGAACCTCGACCGCGCTGTCGTCGAGGCACCTGCACGGATGGGTCGGAGCAGGGTCGGCGCGGGCTCCTGCTACAGCGCCGCCCACGCCGCGGCCGCCGCACTCGCGCATGGCGGCGAGCATGAAACGGGGCAGGGTGGAGGGCAGCAGGCGCGACGCGACGGGCATGTCGCTCAGGCAGCGCAGCGCGAGCGAGAGCTGCGCGACCCGCTCGGCCCGCTCCTGTTGACAGAGGGAGGCGTGAAGAGGCGCCGCTCCCCCCCTCCTCCCCCGCCGCCCGCTCCGCCGCTCCTCCTCCGCCTCGCACGAGCCGGCGCCGGACGAGAGGAGCGGCGCTGCGCCGTCGGTGGATCGAACCACCTGCGCGCAGCGGCGCGCAGTGAGGAGACGCTGTTCACTCCTCCGCAGCGTTGAGCGAACGAGCTCACCCCCGCGCGCAGCGGAGGGGCGACGGCGGGCGACGCGGCGGGCGGCAGCAGGTTCACCAGCGAGAGGGCGCCTCCCTCGGTGCGTCCGCCTCCGGGCGACACGTCTGCGGCACGTCCATGACACGCACCGTGGGCGGGCTCGGAGGGCTCCCCTCCCCCGCACACGGCGCCCCGCCCGCCCCACCCGCCACCCTCCGCGCCGCCGGCCTCGCCCCTGCCCGCCTCGCCCCTGCCCGCCTCGCCCTTGCTCCCGTCGCCTCTCAGGGCCCGCGTGCCGCGCGCCGGCTGCTGCTGCTGCTGCTGCGTGCACCGCTCCTCCCAGACGTCGAACGGCTCGCGCACCAGCGCGAGAGAGACGGCGTCGAGCAGGCGGGAACGGACCTGCCGCTCGAGCGGCGGCACGTGCCTCGCGATAGCGGCGAGGCAGGCGAGCAGCGCGCCGGAGAGCGGCAGCGCGCAGAGCCGCTCAACCAGCTCGCCCGACGCATCGCCCACCGCGCCGCCGCACGCCTCGCACACGCTGCCGATGCACCACAGCGCAGCCTAGTGAGTGGTCGATGGCTCATGAGTCCAGTACTCAAGCAGCGGCCGTTGCACCAGCGGCACGAGCCTCGTGCGCGCTGCCGCAGCCGCCGCCACCAAAGGCGCCGCTCTGCAAGCTACCCAGCCCGCCGCCGCCATCGAGGCCCTCTCCCGCGTACCCACCCTCGCCGCCGCCCTCGCCGCCCCAGCTGCGCCCCCTCACCGCCGCCGGCGAGCCCTCGCCCCTCCAGCCCTCCCCCCTCCAGCCGTCGCCCCTGCCGCCCCTGCCGTCCATGCCGCCGCGCTGCCTGCGGCCCCGCGCCGGCGGCGGCGGCGGCGCAAACCCCCTTGTGAAGTTTGCCCACGCGTCTCCGATCGCCTTGAAGACCGCCTCGTGCGGCGGCAGTGGCCGCGCGGCGGCGGCGGCGGCCGCCGCCCTGGCTTGGGCCCTGGCTTGGAACCCGTTTCGGTGCCCGCCGCGCGCGCCACCGCCTCCGCCGCCTCGCTCGCTGTCGATCTCGGCGCGCGCGATCGAGATTGCGCCGGCGGCGTAGGGGAGGAAGGCGGAGCGGGTGGCGAGGGCGAGGGCACCGAGGGCGAGCAGGCAGGCCGTGCGCGCCTGCGGGGCGGGAGAACCTTCTCGGAACCTTCTCGGAACCTTCTCGGAGCAGGCAAGCCGCGCGCGCCGTCGACGCGTGGCTGGCGGCGCGGGCGAGGAGGTGGGAGGCGACGAGGGGTAGGAGCTGCTCGGCGAGAGGGGGGGGCGCCACTGCGACCAGCCGAGGCAGCGCGGCGAGCAGCGCGACCTGGTCACGGCGCGCGCTGTGAAGAGGCGTGTGCTCATGTGTGAAGAGGCTTGTTGCATGTCTGACTGTCACTGTGCTATTTCGGGGCCCGGGGTTGTGCGTTTATGTGAAGAGGCTTTGTCCGCCGCGGGCGGGGCAGCGCGGCGAGCCTCACCCGCAAGTGCGGCGGCGACTCGTCCCGCAGCCGCCAGACGAGCCGGAAGGCGCGCTCCACCTGACGGGCGGTGTGCGCAGCCTCAGCTGGTCCGCTCAGCTGGTGCGCGTCTCTCACCAGGCTGGCGGGCGGGCGGGCGGGCGGGCGAGCGGGCGGGCGGGCGGGCGGGCGAGCTCCTCCGTAGCGGAGAGGACCTCGGCGAAGGCAGCCCGGTGCTCGGCGGAGCGGGGCAGCGATGCGCACTGCGGCATCGGCGGCGGCAGCGAGGCGGAGGAGGGGTGCGTGCTCACGGCGTCGGCGGCGCCGAGGGTTTGGTGCGGCGCGGCGTCGGCGGCGGAGGGCGGGAGGAGGGCGGGGGAGAGGAGGGCGGGCGAGAGGATTGAGGCGGCGGAGGACGCGGAGGCGGAGCGGCGCCAGGCGGGGAGTTGGAAGGTCGGCTCGAGGAGGGGAGGGTCGAGCAGGGGCGGGGAGGGGGGGTGGAGCGGGCCGAGGGCGAGCGAGAGGAGCTCGCCGCTCAGCAGCTCACTCAGCGCGCAGAGGCAGCCGTGCGCCTCGTCGAGCCCGCTGCTGCCGCCGCCCTCCTCGATCGGCCGAGGGGCGGAGGAGGAGGCGGAGGAGGAGGGCGAGTCGGCGGCGGCGGCCTCGGGGTGGTAGCTTTGGATCCCCGCGAGGGAGCGGCTGAGGGCAGCCTCGTACCAGGCGCCGAGCCCGCCTAGCGGTGCGGTGGACGTGTCGTGGAGTTGTCCTCGACGTGGCCTCGCGGCGCCGCGCCGCTACCTTCGCGCTGCGAGACGATGGCGAGGCAGGAGCGGAGCATGCCGATGGCTGCGATGCGCGTCTCGGAGAGCGGGTCCTGCAGAGGGAGAGAGGCGCTGGTCAAGAGAGGGTGCCCGCCACTGACCCGTAGGCAGAGGGCGGCTCCTGCAGCGCGACCCAGACGGCCGCAGTCACCTGTCGTGGGGAGACATTCCGAGAGGGTTCGGAGAAGGTTCGGAGAAGGTTCGGGGAAGTTTCCGAGTGCCGGGGCTGCTCTGGCCTCCGGCCCGGCGCCGTCGCCGCGGAGCAGAATCTCGGAGGTGTCTAGGGAGTGTCTAGGAGGAGTCTGGGAGGTGTTTGGCAGGCGTCTGGGAAGTGTCCAGGAAGTGTCGCCTCGTGCAGCCGCGCCGCCACCGCCGAGGCGGCCTGCGGCCCGCTCCGCATGGCGAGCTCGGTGACAATCAGGCAGGAGGAGAGGCGGCGGTGCGAGCGGCTCGCCGCCGCAGGCGTCTCTGCGTGCAGCCACTCGAGAGCTCGCGACAGCTCTGCGTCGGTCGCGTCAGTCGCAGCGGCGCCCGCCGAGCGCAGGGCGTGGCCGAGGGTGCGGACAGCGAGCGCGATCTCGTCGGGCGCCTAGAGTGGGCCGTGGGGCTGGGTGCGGCAGACCGATCGACGGTGCGCCTTTCTCGCCGTGCCGCTCGCCGTGGATCGCTCGAGCACTGCCCGTAGCAGCCGGCAGAAGCGAGCGGCTCCGGTGCCGACGCGAGACCACTCGTTGACATCGACCAGCTCGTTGACTAGCGCAAGCCCGCCGTGGCGCCGCGCCGGGTCGTTTGAGCCCAGCGCCTCGGAAAGCCTCCGCAGGATTTCGAGCGCCGAGCCGGCTCGCTCGAACATCGTTCGAACACGCCGCGCTGCACCCTGGCGGACCGACGCGCTGCGATGTCCGAGCTGCTGCAGCGAGACGTCGAGGTCACGCGCGGCTGAGACGACCATGGCCAGCGCCGCCGCGAGCGAGCGGACGGCCGGCGCCGCCGCGCGAGCGAGCGGGGCTCTGCTGCCACCGCCCGGCGGGGTCGCGAGAAAGAGAATCACTTTGGCACTCTGCGCAAATGGCGCAGGAAAAAGAGGGGTCGAAGCTCGGACACGCGAGACACAGTCAGGCCGCTCACCTCGTCTCTCTCGTACGTCGCCTTGTCAAGCCCTCGCCTGCCGATGTATTGTTGTATGATAGTAATAGAGCAGTTTGGTCGGAGGGCGCCCGGGTCGCCCCGGAGCGGCCCCGCGCGGGGAGGTGGGTGGAGGGCGGGCGCCACGCCGTCGGGCAGGCCGCGCGGGGACGCAGCCGGGGCCAGCGCGCGGCGCTAAACCTGTGTCACCCGAAATCCATAGTGTCACTCCAGATCCATAAAATGTCGCATTTGCAGCGCATTTTGTTGCAAACAAGTGTGCAAATGGTTGTTTTGACCAGTACTCACCTGCCCCTGCAGAGCATGCGCATGCTAGCTCTCGTACATGCACTCTCTCTTCCGTCCGCACCCGCACGGTACCCCTTACGGAGCCCACCATGCCGCTCGCACCTGGCTCGCACCCACCCACTATGCGTGTCATGCCAGCAGTGCTATGAGCTAATCACTTGGGGACGCCCATGAAGCCCAAGAACCTGGCCTGACTCTCCCGCTCACTCTGCTCGCGTGCGCGCGAAGCGTTGAGCTCGGCCAGCATCATGCCCTGCGCAAAGGTTGGGGAGAACATGCTCCCGCCCGGCTGTGCAAACACGGAGGGGGCCGTCTCTGCATCGCGAGTGCGATAGAGCGGCGCCGCCGGTGCCGGCTTGGCCCTCTTGCGGCGCTGAGCCCAAACCATACCGAGCCCTTCTCGATGTCCGCCGCGCAGCCCACCACGTCGTCATCCCTCCATGACACGGAATGGCCGCTCGCCTTTATGCCACAGGCTGCGCCGCGCCCCGTCGGCCGCCCAGCTCAGTGCGTCGTCGCCGACACCATTGTCACCGTCGGGCGCGAAGCCCGGCGTTGCCCACCCGATTTGCGGGTACTTGCCCACTCGCTTCAATGTGATCTCGTAGAAGATCTGCCCGTGCTTGGCCAGCGCGCCGGGCAGCCCGACGGTGCAGAAGGAGATTGTGCTGCACGCGGCGCCACGGGTCAGAGCGAGACGCGCGGCAACCACCGCCGCCCCGTGCGCCGCGAGCGCCTCCACCGGCAGCTTGCCCAGCACCGCCACCGCCGCCTTGCGCACGTCCCTCATCCGGATGCTCGAGCTTCGCCGCCACCGCCGCCCCGTGCGCCGCGAGCGCCTCCGCCGGCAGCTTGCCCAGCGTCTCCACCGCCGCCCGGCGTACGTACTCATTCGCGTCCTCGAGCCTCGCCGCCACCGCCGCCCCGTGCGCCGCGAGCGCCTCCGCCGGCAGCTTGCCCAGCGTCTGCACCGCCGCCTTGCGCACCTTCCCATCCGTGTGCTCGAGCTCGCCCACGCACTTCAGCATCTTGGCCGGGTAGTGCGCGGGATTGAGGCCGAGCGCTCGAAGCGCCTCCCCTCGCTCCCCTTCCCCTGCAGCGTCCACACGCGCCAACGCACCCTCGCGCACGTCGGCGTCGGCGTGCGACACCAGCGTTATCGCCCTCGCCAGCACCTCTGCCACCGGGTGTGTTCGATTGTAAAAAATCGGCCATAGGACGCCCAGGGGCCGCCCCTGGCCGCCCGCGCGCACAAAAAAATACTCGCCGCCCCGAACGCCCCCAGAAAACAACTTCCTAGCCCCACAAGCGTCACGAGTTTACGAGAGTACTCAAAATAAATTCCCGGAGTGCCCGGCCGCGCCGGCGGGGTTAGGGTTAGGGTTAGGGTTAGTTCCGTTTGTTGGTTTGCTTGCTCTGTTCACAGCAGTACCCTAACTGTCTTCTCCTTGTACATCTATGCTGGGGAGGTTCCCTCCCCACAAGGAGAAGCGACTAGCGTTTTGGCCCCCCAAAACCCCCCCCTAGGACCAGGTTTCGGGACCTGAAAGTGAAGTCCTGGCGAGTTATGCTCAAAAAACATCCATTTTTGGCCGTTTTTGGCCAAAAATGGGCCTTGAACTGGCAGCCACTCCCCACTAGAGCAGAATTCTGACCATCTGAGCTATGCTAGGGCAAAACCTGACCATCTGAGCTATTCAGGCCCAATATGGGCTGTGGTCATGGAAGTGCCATATGCTCAAAAAACATCCTTTTTTGGCCGTTTTTGGCCAAAAATGGGCCTTCTTGGCCAGAGCTTGGCCAGCCTTGGCCAGAGCTTGGCCAGCCTTGGCCAGAGAGTGGCCAGCCCTGGCCAGAGCTTGGCCAGCCTTGGCCAGCCTTGGCCAGAGCTTGGCCAGCCTTGGCCAGAGCTTGGCCAGCCTTGGCCAGAGCTTGGGCAGCCTTGGCCAGAGAGTGGCCAGCCCTGGCCAGAGAGTGGCCAGCCCTGGCCAGAGCTTGGCCAGCCTTGGCCAGAGAGTGGCCAGCCTTGGCCAGAGCTTGGCCAGCCTTGGCCAGAGAGTGGCCAGCCTTGGCCAGAGAGTGGCCAGCCTTGGCCAGACAGTGGCCAGCCTTGGCCAGACAGTGGCCAGCCTTGGCCAGAGCTTGGCCAGCCTTGGCCAGCCTTGGCCAGAGAGTGGCCAGCCCTGGCCAGAGCTTGGCCAGCCTTGGCCAGACAGTGGCCAGCCTTGGCCAGAGAGTAACCAGCCTTGGCCAGCCTTGGCCAGAGCTTGGCCAGCCTTGGCCAGCCTTGGCCAGAGAGTGGCCAGCCCTGGCCAGAGCTTGGCCAGCCTTGGCCAGAGAGTGGCCAGCCTTGGCCAGAGCTTGGCCAGCCTTGGCCAGCCTTGGCCAGCCTTGGCCAGAGAGTGGCCAGCCCTGGCCAGAGCTTGGCCAGCCTTGGCCAGAGAGTGGCCAGCCTTGGCCAGAGCTTGGCCAGCCTTGGCCAGCCTTGGCCAGCCTTGGCCAGACAGTGGCCAGCCCTGGCCAGAGCTTGGCCAGCCTTGGCCAGACAGTGGCCAGCCTTGGCCAGAGAGTAACCAGCCTTGGCCAGCCTTGGCCAGAGCTTGGTTAGGGTTAGGGTTAGGGTTAGGGTTAGGGTTAGGGTTAGGGTTAGGGTTAGGGTTAGGGTTAGGGTTGGGTTAGGGTTAGGGTTAGGGTTAGGGTTAGGGTTAGGGTTAGGGTTAGGGTTAGGGTTAGGGTTAGGGTTAGGGTTAGGGTTAGGGTTAGGGTTAGGGTTAGGGTTAGGGTTAGGGTTAGGGTTAGGGTTAGGGTTAGGGTTAGGGTTAGGGTTAGGGTTAGGGTTAGGGTTAGGGTTAGGGTTAGGGTTAGGGTTAGGGTTAGGGTTAGGGTTAGGGTTAGGGTTAGGGTTAGGGTTAGGGTTAGGGTTAGGGTTAGGGTTAGGGTTAGGGTTAGGGTTAGGGTTAGGGTTAGGGTTAGGGTTAGGGTTAGGGTTAGGGTTAGGGTTAGGGTTAGGGTTAGGGTTAGGGTTAGGGTTAGGGTTAGGGTTAGGGTTAGGGTTAGGGTTAGGGTTAGGGTTAGGGTTAGGGTTAGGGTTAGGGTTAGGGTTAGGGTTAGGGTTAGGGTTAGGGTTAGGGTTAGGGTTAGGGTTAGGGTTAGGGTTAGGGTTAGGGTTAGGGTTAGGGTTAGGGTTAGGGTTAGGGTTAGGGTTAGGGTTAGGGTTAGGGTTAGGGTTAGGGTTAGGGTTAGGGTTAGGGTTAGGGTTAGGGTTAGGGTTAGGGTTAGGGTTAGGGTTAGGGTTAGGGTTAGGGTTAGGGTTAGGGTTAGGGTTAGGGTTAGGGTTAGGGTTAGGGTTAGGGTTAGGGTTAGGGTTAGGGTTAGGGTTAGGGTTAGGGTTAGGGTTAGGGTTAGGGTTAGGGTTAGGGTTAGGGTTAGGGTTAGGGTTCCCGTTAGGGTTAGGGTTAGGGTTAGGGTTAGGGTTAGGGTTAGGGTTAGGGTTAGGGTTAGGGTTAGGGTTAGGGTTAGGGTTAGGGTTAGGGTTAGCGTTAGGGTTAGGGTTAGGGTTAGGGTTAGGGTTAGGGTTAGGGTTAGGGTTAGGGTTAGGGTTAGGGTTAGGGTTAGGGTTAGGGTTAGGGTTAGGGTTAGGGTTAGGGTTAGGGTTAGGGTTAGGGTTAGGGTTAGGGTTAGGGTTAGGGTTAGGGTTAGGGTTAGGGTTAGGGTTAGGGTTAGGGTTAGGGTTAGGGTTAGGGTTAGGGTTAGGGTTAGGGTTAGGGTTAGGGTTAGGGTTAGGGTTAGGGTTAGGGTTAGGGTTAGGGTTAGGGTTAGGGTTAGGGTTAGGGTTAGGGTTAGGGTTAGGGTTAGGGTTAGGGTTAGGGTTAGGGTTAGGGTTAGGGTTAGGGTTAGGGTTAGGGTTAGGGTTAGGGTTAGGGTTAGGGTTAGGGTTAGGGTTAGGGTTAGGGTTAGGGTTAGGGTTAGGGTTAGGGTTAGGGTTAGGGTTAGGGTTAGGGTTAGGGTTAGGGTTAGGGTTAGGGTTAGGGTTAGGGTTAGGGTTAGGGTTAGGGTTAGGGTTAGGGTTAGGGTTAGGGTTAGGGTTAGGGTTAGGGTTAGGGTTTAGGGTTAGGGTTAGGGTTAGGCTTAGGGTTAGGGTTAGGGTTAGGGTTAGGGTTAGCGTTAGGGTTAGGGTTAGGGTTAGGGTTAGGGTTAGGGTTAGGGCAGGGGTCAGGGTTAGGGTTCAGGTTAGGGTTATGGTCAACGTTAAGGGTTAGGGTCAGGGTTAGGATTAAGATTAGGATTAGGGTTAGGGTTAAGGTCAGGGTTAGGGTTAGGGTTAGGGTTAGGGTTAGGGTTAGGGTTAGGGTTAGGGTTAGGGTTAGGGTTAGGGTTAGGGTTAGGGTTAAGGGTTAGGGTTAGGGTTAGGGTTAGGGTTAGGGTTAGGGTTAGGGTTAGGGTTAGGGTTAGGGTTAGGGTTAGGGTTAGGGTTAGGGTTAGGGTTAGGGTTAGGGTTAGGGTTAGGGTTAGGGTTAGGGTTAGGGTTAGGGTTAGGGTTAGGGTTAGGGTTAGGGTTAGGGTTAGGGTTAGGGTTAGGGTTAGGGTTAGGGTTAGGGTTAGGGTTAGGGTTAGGGTTAGGGTTAGGGTTAGGGTTAGGGTTAGGGTTAGGGTTAGGGTTAGGGTTAGGGTTAGGGTTAGGGTTAGGGTTAGGGTTAGGGTTAGGGTTAGGGTTAGGGTTAGGGTTAGGGTTAGGGTTAGGGTTAGGGTTAGGGTTAGGGTTAGGGTTAGGGTTAGGGTTAGGGTTAGGGTTAGGGTTAGGGTTAGGGTTAGGGTTAGGGTTAGGGTTAGGGTTAGGGTTAGGGTTAGGGTTAGGGTTAGGGTTAGGGTTAGGGTTAGGGTTAGGGTTAGGGTTAGGGTTAGGGTTAGGGTTAGGGTTAGGGTTAGGGTTAGGGTTAGGGTTAGGGTTAGGGTTAGGGTTAGGGTTAGGGTTAGGGTTAGGGTTAGGGTTAGGGTTAGGGTTAGGGTTAGGGTTAGGGTTAGGGTTAGGGTTAGGGTTAGGGTTAGGGTTAGGGTTAGGGTTAGGGTTAGGGTTAGGGTTAGGGTTAGGGTTAGGGTTAGGGTTAGGGTTAGGGTTAGGGTTAGGGTTAGGGTTAGGGTTAGGGTTAGGGTTAGGGTTAGGGTTAGGGTTAGGGTTAGGGTTAGGGTTAGGGTTAGGGTTAGGGTTAGGGTTAGGGTTAGGGTTAGGGTTAGGGTTAGGGTTAGGGTTAGGGTTAGGGTTAGGGCCCCGGTTAGGGTTAGGGTTAGGGTTACCCTTAGGGTTAGGGTTAGGGTTAGGGTTAGGGTTAGGGTTAGGGTTCGGGTTAGGGTTAGGGTTAGGGTTAGGGTTAGGGTTAGGGTTAGGGTTAGGGTTAGGGTTACGCCCTAGGGTTAGGGTTAGGGTTAGGGTTAGGGTTAGGGTTAGGGTTAGGGTTAGGGTTAGGGTTAGGGTTAGGGTTAGGGTTAGGGTTAGGGTTAGGGTTAGGGTTAGGGTTAGGGTTAGGGTTAGGGTTAGGGTTAGGGTTAGGGTTAGGGTTAGGGTTAGGGTTAGGGTTAGGGTTAGGGTTAGGGTTAGGGTTAGGGTTAGGGTTAGGGTTAGGGTTAGGGTTAGGGTTAGGGTTAGGGTTAGGGTTAGGGTTAGGGTTAGGGTTAGGGTTAGGGTTAGGGTTAGGGTTAGGGTTAGGGTTAGGGTTAGGGTTAGGGTTAGGGTTAGGGTTAGGGTTAGGGTTAGCGTTAGGGTTAGGGTTAGGGTTAGGGTTAGGGTTAGGGTTAGGGTTAGGGTTAGGGTTAGGGTTAGGGTTAGGGTTAGGGTTAGGGTTAGGGCTAGGGTTAGGGTTAGGGTTAGGGTTAGGGTTAGGGTTAGGGTTAGGGTTAGGGTTAGGGTTAGGGTTAGGGTTAGGGTTAGGGTTAGGGTTAGGGTTAGGGTTAGGGTTAGGGTTAGGGTTAGGGTTAGGGTTAGGGTTAGGGTTAGGGTTAGGGTTAGGGTTAGGGTTACGGTCAGGCTTAGGGT